TTGTTCCAAACCCGTAAGACATTCGTTCATCTTCGGAACACAAATTAAGATAGTTTTGATGAAATCCGAATGAGCTCTCTGACCCTCCATAGGCAGCAACACAACTGAAATGTTCCCAGGTCCAGAAACGTAACAAGGACATCGGTAAAATAGTCCATGTGACATCTAGGGCTGTCAACATTTTTTCCGAATATTTGTTGAATTTAAAATAAAAATCCACATTCGAATGCAAAAACGTTGCATTCGAATTTTAGGTGTGTGTTAAGGAGGCAGCCTTATCAGCGGCGCACGAGATGCGATGACGATGTGTCTATAATGTCAGTTTGCACTTGTTTTTGTACAGTTTGTGTGCCTAACCAGGTATTATGTAATAAAATGCTTTAAATCTTGTGGATTTTGTTCGAGGAGAAAAAATGAATTTCTATGGATCTGAACTGCATGTTATAGGAAAAACGTTCCTGTGATTTGTCTTGATAGAAGCTGCTTAAGCTCCATCAGCTCAATAGGTCTTGCTGTATGTATCACAGTGTTATTTTAGTATCAGTGAATATTACCGTTTTTTTATATTTTGAATTAAAGGGCTAGTTCTGTCATCATTTACTCACCCTCAAATTGTTCTAAATCTGTATGAGTGTCTTTCTTCCGTTATGCATAAAAGCTCAAAATAAAATTTTTTAATTGTTGGTAACCAAACAGTTTCTGGTCCCCTCTGACTTCCATAGTATGGGGGTGGGAATATATTATGGAAGTCTGTGGGGACCAGAAACTCTTTGGTTACCCACAATTTTTTTGCGCTCAATAGAAGACCCTGATGTGTCAGAGCACTGCCCTGCTGTAAGATGAATTGTTCACAATTTATAGTCACAATAATAAGTTTTGCTGTTGCTAACAAGAGGTTAAATGGGACTACAGAGGTTACTGGGGATGTTAAAAATCATCACGCCGAACATTCACAGCATTGTGTTTATAATCACACTCTTGCAAACTATTCTGACTTAAACTTTTGAAGAAAAAAAAAAAAAGTTCAAAGAGTTGTCAAAGCTTGTGGTGGTGATGTTGAGGTCATTTGAGAGTAGCCTAAAGCCCCGTACACACCAAGAACGATAACTGTAAAGATGACTATATTAGCATTCACTACCCGATATAAATTCTCCAGCTCGTGATAGCAAGATGGATTCTGATTGGGTGTCAATGATTTTATCCTTCATCAGCTGGGAAAAAAATCATTCTGGAAGTGATTCCAATGATATAGTTTCTCTGTGCCTTTATAGTTATAGCTGTGGTGTGAACTCTGCTATTCTTTAATATTGAGAACGATTTTTAGAACTATATCTTTATCGTTATCTTTATAGTTATCGTCCTTGGTGTGAACGGGCCTTAACCTCTTAAGACCCGGCAAAACATTTTAGGAAAAAATGAGTATTTTTTCCATGTCATTACATTGTTTAAAAAAATTAATACATAAAAAATTCATAAGTTATGCTATGTCCTTGATAGAGGACATTGGGACTCAATTTCTTTAAAAAATAAAAAGACATTTTGATTTGCAAAATTGCAAAAACAATAGATTTTTTAAAATCACCAATACATTTTTAGTTTTCAGGATTTCTTTTTTACCAAACTTTGTATAACTCTTAAGACCCGGCAAAACATTTTAGGAAAAAATGAGTATTTTTTCCATGTCATTACATTGTTTAAAAAAATTTATACATAAAAAATTCATAAGTTATGCTATGTCCTTGATAGAGGACATTGGGACTCAATTTCTTTAAAAAATAAAAAGACATTTTGATTTGCAAAATTGCAAAAACAATAGATTTTTTAAAATCACCAATACATTTTTAGTTTTCAGGATTTCTTTTTTACCAAACTTTGTATAAAGATAATTCTCAACTATGTTATAACAGAATGATTGTATATACATTTTCTTCATGCTACATTTGTGTAAAATGGCCATAAACATGTTTTATCATTATATATAATGTATCTATAAACTAAATCTAATTTGCATATTAAAGGTGACATGTGAAAATCGGACTTTTCCAGGTTTTACGTGCTATAATCAGGTCCCCGGTGCATCTACCAACCAAGGAAACGTGAAAAAGATTGACCCAGTAACTTTATTTTGGTAAGCGTTTTTCTGCAAGCGTCTGAGAAAACGAGCGCGTCTGATTTCGCTCCCTTGGTGACATTGCAAAGAGACCTCATCCTCATATTACCGCCCCTTAATCTGTAAGTTTCCACCCAGGCGCCGTCATTGTGTTTTCGCAAGCGACAACGGTGTACCAGCTCTAATGCCATGGCGAAACTTTGAGCAAAACTGTTCTGCCTTTGTCTGCACAGAACACTATTTAGATCTAAAATAATCATGCAATTTATTTCCCAGCAGTTTACCTTCACAGACATAACCGACTGTTTTTGTAACTCGTGTTTTTAAGGTAAACTTGTGTATGAATGAGAACTTTGATTAGTACTCGCATGCTGTGTGGTGGCCGCTTTCTGTCCGTGTGCTCTCAGAAAACCGTATATCAGAACTTTAAACTCATATGGTTTAAACCGCATGATTTCAGCACGATAAACATGATAATCAGAACCATAACAGATGTTTTTAGCAGGTCCCAGCTGTAGCAGCTCTATTCTGGAAAAGGGGGCGGGGAGCAGCAGCAGCTCATTTGCATTTAAAGAGACCGGCCCGAAAAACAGCGCGTTTCTGCTTCCACTCAAAATAGGCATTTTCAAAAGGATATAATAAATGATCTCTGGAGTATTTTGAGCTGAAACTTCACAGACACATTCTAGGGACACCAGAGACTTATATTACATATTGTAAAAAGGGGCATAATATGTCTCCTTTTAATGTGTTTTTGGGGCAACATGTAATGAAAAAAGAAGAAAATGGGAGTAATAATTGACAAGATTTTCATAGTAATATATAATATTTCACAGGAATATGGAAATATATTTTCTTTACCTATTCATTGTTGTGTCTCAAAAAATGCGTAATAAACATGCTTTGGATGCAGGGTCTCAGGAGGCTAAGAATCATAAACTTTTGTTGGTCACTGGCTTTTGGATTATGGCATTAAATAAGCTCTATGTTAAAATTCTGTTGGGTTTTTGCTGAGGGGACCAGGGTGACGATAACTTTTGTGTTGGCCTACAAAATGAATGCCTGCAGGTATTATTGCCATTGCATTGGTGTATTACCCAGGGTTGGGGAAAGTTACTTTTAAAAGTAAAGCATTACAATATTGTGTTACTCCCTAAGAAGTAACTAATTGCATTACTTTTTATGGAAAATAATGTGTCATGTTACTTTTGCGTTACTTTTTCACATCTGAGATGGGCTTGCTTGTTATATTTTTGGCAAATGTAAAAACCCTTTCACACAAAAAGTGAAATGAATAAGCCTCAGACTGAAGGAAATGTAAATTCATGTATTTACAAACCTTTCAGCTGTGCTGCCTTTCTGGATTGCAGAAGAAACATGACAAAGAAAAAGAAAGTTCAACACTCTTACTTCAGCAATAAAACACGAATGTGACGTTTAGCTAGTCATTTTTGCTGATTATAGTTGAAATGGATCATGGAAGGTCAGGAGCAAAGGTCTGCACTTACTCCCGCTTTTCTTGCTAATTAAAAAGTGATGCATTATTTTACTAGTTACTTGAAAAAA